TTTGTAAACCTACAAGGATGAACCTTTTCTGTTACTGTAAATGCCTGTGAGATTCTCTCACACCAGGCAGGCCTATCACACTGCTCTATACTTCTGCTCCCTGCCGCACTGGCTCTCCAACTCAAGTCCTTCACAAATTCTTCTCCATTTACAGATTCAAAGTGGACATGGGTCCATATCCCACAATAACCAGAATAAATAAAGCTCTCTTGGAGTTAGAGGCCTTCAAAATAAGCCACCCTTCCCGGCAGCCAGATACTCCTGCAGAGCTGCGAGTTTGAAGCCTTTCTACTCATTAACTCTAGAAAGCTGCCATGATAAAGAAGACAACACCTACAGTTTGAGTAGGACTTCAATGCCAGTAGGAAACCCCAGTACTGTTGTCTCCCTTTCATCTGTGTGGGAAGGACAGAGAATCTGGAAGTAGTGTGGATGACTTACAGGATGCCTGTGCTGGAATACCTGCAGCTACTAGTTTTGTCTATGCAGTCTATCTCCATGAAGCAGATTAAAGCAGAAGTATCCATAATGATCAGAAGTTTCATCTGTATGGCTTTGGGCGGGGAAATGTGGCCACAAACAACTGTGAGGCATTGAGCCAATTCTGTATTCCCCATAGTGGCTACTTCTTTCTACCATCTACAGAAAGAGCATCAGAGAATCGGTGTACACATTGTGCTTATCCTTGGAGCTACCTCAGAGCCACAGCACAGTCATCAGTTCCACAGATATAAGCAATCAGATCTAGTCTCTGATGGAAGATAGCTTAACCATTGTTGGGGTCTTGAAAGAGCCAAGTTGATAACTCTGTCACCCCTTGAAATAACAAGAGCAGTCACATGGCATTTATGAAAGGTGTGCCTAGAGCAAAGCTAGGTCATTGTGCCAAGGCACAACCGTCTCTCTCCACTACAATGAAAATTATGTTATCTTCTTTTTCCCACCCTCAGATACTCCTCTAGGTGTTTTCCTAGCCTTCAGCTGCAGATGGTTGCCCAAGGAAATCCCACACCAGATTCTCTCCAAACCAGAATAATGTCTGTACTTTTACTGTAAAACAGCAGCAGTAAATACCATTCCACTCATCCCAAATGAAACCAAACACCTAAGTCACCTACAAAGCTGAAAGCAGCCTGGGAATTCCAGCTAGAAACCTATAGGGCAAGAAAGGAACCCATAACCTTGTGTCATGTTCTTGTGCAGAGTCAGCTCAGATCCCACTGAATGCTTTGGCACCTGAGCCTAGATATTATATATCAGGTATCCTAGGAAAACAATACCCATGGCTTTCAGAATTTACAAACCCACAATCTCTTGTACCAAGGTGCCATTCACCTACATACAGATACCTGGACTGCCATGTTGCTTGGATTAATTTATTGCCATCCATATCTGTATTTAGGCTGGTGAAGAGCCTTGCTGTTTAGGCTCATTCTGAGAATCATGCATTATCCTAGGTCCAGCTGGATCTTGAGTGTGCTGTTATAAAATGTCCCAGCACAGTTGGAGCCCCCAAAGACCAACACCGTGTGCAGCTTCTGCTCCTCTTTGTTCTCCTTGTCCATATCCATCAAGTGGGCAGGAGTCAGGTCAAGCAATGTGTGGCCAGCTCGGGGAACAGAGCAGAGGTCATGGTGGATCACTGTGCTCCATGAAAGAGTATCTGAAGTGGAAAGGGGATATCAATACTGACAAGCCCATTCCTAGTGCAAAGGATGAGACAAATGGACTAGACTAGGTGTTCAGAAACACCTCTGCAGCCCCAGAGTCATCTTCAGCTATCAAAACAGGGCAGGAGAATCACTCACCTAGGTGGAAGACAAAGGCATCATGCAGGGCTCCTCTGGCATTGCAGCCTCCACTGATCAGGACCTTCTGGTCTGACACAGCCAGAGCTGCATGAAAGCTGTGACCAAAGCAAAGTCAAAAGGTGACTACAACAAAACTGGGATGGCCTCAGTCACTAATGGGTGGGGATTGGAAGGCTTGATCAGGAGGTTGGCGGCTTAAGGTGCCAGAAGAAAGCTGACTTCTGCTTCTCTCTGCCCTGGCTTGCAGAATAACCCTAAGAGAGATGTTTCCCTCTGCAGGTCAGGCCTGAAGCAACTCATTATCTCAGAAGGAGCTATCAAAACTCCTATGCTTTGCTCTGTGAGGTGAGATAAGAGGCTAGCTGGGCTCTGCATTGATTTAGATCATTGTTCTAGTGAGCAATTTTGTCCCTTCAGGAAGAACATAGTCCTGGTAGAGGAGTTTCTTCCTCTGTGTGGCACAGTACCTCTCCAGGCACTGTGAAGACCAAACAGCAGGCCATACAGTTTACTACCACACAGCAGAAAACTTACCCTAGCCTGAAAGACAGAGGAGTCTTCCAGGGGGACTAAGGAATATTCCCCCACACCATACAGGCACCAACAAGGACAGCACAGGAACTCCTGGTGCCACAGCAGAGAGAAGATCCACAGTATTTTGACTAATGGAACAGAGATATGCAGCTGGGTCTGATCACAAGCACTATTTAAACCTGGCTTCAAAAAGACATGACACAAGAAGATAGCTCCTGGGTCTGCAATAGACTCTTACCAACGTGCAGAAGGCTGTCCTGCCAGGAGGGGGACTGATGTGTACTCCATGAAACCTGAGAGACAGAGAAAAGGCAAGTGAAATGTCCAAAAACAGCCTCATAACTAGACAAAAATTTAGATACTCTGCCACATCAACAATGCCTCTGCCTTCTCTATTACCCAACTTCTTCCAAAAAAGCCATTGTTTTTTCTTCATCCCCTCCCTTATTGCCCCAGAAAGGTTTCAGTTTTTTTTAACCTGTAGTTTTAAACCTCCATTGCCTAGTCAGGAGTTTGTATAATGCTGTTCCTATTTTCCCATTGAGCACACCCCACTCCCAAGTCCCTGGCTTGGAACAGATGTTCCCAAGGCAGCCAGACAGCACAGACTTACTTACCCAGATCCAGAATGTGCATGTCACTGAGGTAGACAGAAGTCTTCTGACCCCCAAAAATCAGCAGCTTGTTTTTCAATAGAGTAGCTGAATGCCTGGGCAGAGAGCAAGCAAATAAATAAAACATCTTCAGCAAGTTCCCAAAACTTCTCTTTTAGCCTTGGCCCCTTCTACTGGGCTGCCACAGCTTCAGTCTACACCTGGGACAAAATCCCATCAGGATTCACAATAGGAGGTACTGAGAATTCCACTGCTCTAAACACAGCCCTATCTTAAGGAGTACGTGGTGGAGAACAATCACCTAATATTTAGGAAATCACAGGTGTGGGAGGGAAGGTAAGCAGAGGTTTCCTGCACTATTTTGGATAGCTGGAATTAGAGCACTCTCACCCAAGCCTAGGCAGAGGCTTCTCCCCTTCTGAAATGGGCTGATACCAAATTTCATCCTCTGGATTGAAGACATAGAGCACATTGCTGCAGGGTGCAACTGCCAGCGATGTTTTTCTGGGGAAAGTCCCTCCAAAAACAAAGAGCTCCTTGTGGTAGATAGTTGCACTGTGGTAGGTGAGCACTGGTATCCTCCCTTTAGCCTAGAAAAATTTCAATATATATTTGTTACCAGAAGTGCATTATTTGCTGCATGAAAATAGGAAAGGGGCCCACATCATGCAGTGAGTTTGACAAGTCTCAATTTTCACTTTATTGGCTCCCCAGCCAGATCTTTGCTGCACAGGCAGACAGTACATTCTTTGCATGCTCTACACCACCAGAATGATCCGATAAGAAAAATAAATCAGCCTCCCACACCTTCCTCAGAAGATGTCAGAGAACTGAAAGATCTCATCCAGGCTTACTCTGTAAAAAAACATTTTGTGCTTTAGCAGGAAAGAGACAGTCCCATGCTGACAAGCGCTCAGAATGCTGCTGTACTCAGGGCAGTTCCTGATTTGAGAAGACCAGCTCTTCACCTCAGCATCTGGTGCTGCTCCCAATGGCACCATATAAAATGAGAGACCATTTGCCTTCACTGCTTGTACAGTATCTCCCACCATTAAGCTTGGTCAGGCACAGCCCTCTGCAGCAACCATTTTTTTCCATTGCTTCATTCGCTGTAGACACAGCAACAGGTTTCTGTTCAGCATGTGGCTTTTCAACACAGCCTTTTAATACCTGTCAAACCCAACTTCACATCTCAGACAACCTGCACCAACAGTGGACCAAGACTACTAGACTAAGGACATGGGCACATGGACTGCCACATTCAGGCAGAACCTGCCACTCCTCCTGCACTTGTGCCTTGGAAGAGATGCAGTACTCACAGCCACAAGGAGCCATTTCCAGGTGACTGTGTCCAGAATGTAGATGCTGCTGTAGTCTTTGTCCTCCCTTATGCCCCCAAAGATGTAGATACGCTTGGTGTCAGGGTCGTAGGTAGCTGTGTGACCATGCAAGCACGATGGCATGGCATTTTGTAGCTGGAAACCCACTGGAAGCCATAGATCACTGTCTGTAAGAGCAATAGCAGACATATGGTATGGGAGTTCAAAAATGCTCTTGACTGCTCTAGATTTAAAGAACATGCCATAAAATCTTTAGTCAAAACCTTGCTCCCTTTGTCTCCTCCTCTCCTTTGATTCAGGGCTAGAGGGAACTCATACAGAATTATTCTATAAATAATGATGGGGAATACAAAGGTGAAAGAGAAGACCAGTGAGGTGCAGAAAGACATAAGGCACTGGAATTGTATCTCACACTTCCCCACCAGTCACCACACACAGACTGCAAACTGCACTGTTGCATTTACCCCTTACAATTCCAACTCTTTCCAGAACTTGTATCTTATCTCCTAGAGTGCTCTCAAGTATAATCTCAGAGCCCTCATAAGGCACTCTATGCTGTCAGCTCAGCCTGGTGACATGCCAGATGTGATGCCTTCGCTGTTCACTCCATATGCACAGGTGCCCAAGTACCCCCTCCAATCTGCATGAGCTATCCTCGAGGCCCACTGTCCCCACTGCTTTTCACAATCCTAAAGTTCCCACCAATTTCCAGCTTCCAGAGAGCATCCCTGCAGGACTGTTGATTGACACCTTCTCCACCAATGAGAACAGCTGTCCCCAGGTCACTGAGGCACATGGCATGGCACCACCGAGGGCTGGGACTGCCTGGGGAGGGAAGAGCACAGGCACATCAGCAGTCAGACAAGACACCCTCAGCTCCCTTCCCTGTGGGGAGAACAAGGCACCTGAATGCTCAGAGGGGGGAAATGGTAAAGCAAGGCTCCCTGCCCTCTGCAGGGGAAAAAGACATACCTTCCTAAGGAATATTTTCAGTTGGCTTGGGGGAATAATTGCTGTACTTAGAGAGACCTCAGAAGCAAGGACTAGCTGGATGCAGGATGCATTCAGGCTGCCACTTCAGACAGGTTTGGAGGTCTCCCATTTACTACCCCATCTCCAAAAGTTGTGCTACCTGGCCTGCGCTACTCCTCACGAGGGAGGGCTACCCAGGGACAGCTTGTCAGTGCCTAAGAACAATCAGAAGCCTGGAGCTGCTTCCACAGGTATTCCTTGTACTGCTCTGTTCCTCCTCCCTTCTCCTCCCAGGCCCCTGCAGCTGGCTGAGCAAGCTAAAAAAATACTTTTAAATCAAAGTCTATTTAATATCTTACCTTTTTTACTCAAAGAGCTATGTACCCAGAGGTGTGCCTAAGATTCAGAGGGGCTAAAGAAACATATTTGAGAGCCTGACAGTACTGGAAGCACTGATGGCAATTACATGAAGAGAAACAGCATATATACGTGGCCTACTTGTTACTCTTGATCACTGCAGAGATACAGAATGAAGCATGAGAGGCTTCTGATGTTGAAGGGAAGGAATATCATCACTGAGTGACTGATAAGACAAACCAGGGTCTAGGAACCAAATCCTCACCTTGCAACTCCTTCACCGCCAGATCTGCAAAGGAAACACAGAGATGGTCCCATAAAGCACCCAGCAGACACACTGTGGAAAGTGCTCAGCTCCACTGTGTCAGAGCCCTTGGACCTTCCTTTCTCCAACCTCCAACACAAAGCTACCTCACTGCAACAAACAAGGTGCAAGACCAAGAATCATGAACTAAGTCTCATCAGAAGAAATGCAGAAAATAGGTAAGAGCAGGGCACAACTTCCTCTGACTAACAAATACTGTCACCACTGCCTTTTACCCCCCTGATAGAAGTTTGTTTCCCCCTTTCTCACACTGGCTGCAGCAGCAGAAGCTTTATGATGAAGCTATATTTGCCTTTATGACAAGCAAGGCAAGTCCCAATAAGTAATATCTTATGGGGACCACTAAGTTATTGCCAAACTTTTACACAAAAACTTGGTCACACTCTCAAGGTGACTTGGAATTCACACTCCAGAAGCCTAAGGTTTTGTTGCCAAAGCCCTTGGCAGTTACCTTCTCATTACTCAAAAGACAGTACAATTATACTAATTATATATATACATACATATATATATATATATCTCCCTTTTTGTATTCCTTATACTGTAATAATTACCACTGTCTTCTATAGACCAAGTGGTATGCTATTAGTAGGGTACAAACAGACTAATGCAGAGGTTACAGAACGTAACAAGGTAACTTTTTTGTGCCTCAATTTACTCTTTTGTAAAACAAATTTAACAATATTTGCCTTCATTTATAAAACACTTTTACTTATATGAAAAGATAGAACATGGGATATATCATCTTAGTGCCACCACTTTTTACTGTGACACAATTCCTATTTCTGGCCTTTTCCTAGCAGGCAAAAATTCATCCAGCAGCTGATCCAGGAATAAAGAGCATTTTCAGTATTTCAAAGCCAAACATACAAGCTCATCATACCTTGGAAGTACACAGAGAAATGGAATGGGAAGGTGCAGCCCAGCAGCATTAACAGATCATGTAGACAAAATCTGTAAAATAAAGTTGGAAGCTACCAAAATTACCTTCTTCATCAAGACCTCTCTCAGATGCTGTGGGTTCAAATAAAACTTTTCTGGGCTTTTTGGAGTGGACTCTTGGTGGTCCTTGGTGGTCAGGACTCATCCTCCAGGCCTCATTGGATTCCATCTTTTCAGCTGGTGACTTCAGGGCACAGGGTAACACCATGGTCCTCGGTGGCCGGACATCCTTCTTCACAGGTTTGGATGCTCTGGTAGCCACCTCTGAGCTCTGACTCTTAACCTGTGACACGAGTCCCAGCCAAATCAGCCACAAAGAAAGATGCCTGAGGCTACTGTGAATTGCATCTTACTGGGCCAGAGATGTGGTAGCTGTTTTTAGGCCCATCTTCCCAGTGAGTTTTAAGGGCCAACATGCCATCAGTATCACCTGCCAAACAGTGCAGCTATCTGCAGCAGTGTGCTGTAGTCGGCTCTCATACTGCTGGCTGCTGGGCACAGCTAAAACACAGAAGGGCAAAAAGGCTATCTGTACTAGGAATGAAGGGGCTGGTTAACCATCCCACCAAGGACTACTACATTCAACATTTAAAAAGGCATTTCAATGGAGAATATATCTTTATTCAGCACAAGAGAAACTTTGCCTCCAGAACTTGCTTACCTTATCTCCACTGAAAAAATAGCAGCAAATGTTTCAGTTAGACATCAACTGAATGGCTACTGGTAAGGGAGAAGATACTAAGAAAAAAAGTGAAATAACAAGAAGGTGACTCCAAAATACACATACCCCAGTAGGATCCTCCAGGTCCTGGCCAAGGGGCCTGTCATCTGCTGGGAGCACTGGTGACTGGGTGGTTTCTGGTACAAGGAAGGGATGGACAGGTGTACTGCTGGAGACACCTCGGAGCAGCTGCAGCAGAAACAGCAACAGAATAAAAGGCCCTAAGGGTGTTAACCTCCATCCACACAAAGGATGAGCAAAAACATGTCTTGCAAGGGACAGATTTCCTGCAATGGAATAACCTGCCTTTTATGTCCCACACCAACAAAACAAGCACATAAAAGGAAAGCCAGACACTGCAAGATGCTAAATCCAGTGGCTTCAGCTCAAGGTGAAACAACTCTGTAAGTACCAAAGACTCAGGAGATAGTGGGACTGGAAGTGAACAGCTGTCAGCTGCCCGTCTCCTGCAACACACAAGGTGTTATGGCAAAACTGTTCAGAGAATAGGCCTGGAGCATCACACAGGTTTCAGGTTCTGCACAGATATGCATTAACAGATCTATGTTTGTCAGCTCTACCTTGGAGTAGCAGAGAAGAAAAAGGAGAGCAGGGAGAGGAGGTTCTGGGGCTGACAAGTGACAACCTTTGGAACCTGGGACAGGAAGAGAGGAAAGTGTCAATCCTTTTACCTGTCCATTGACAGTCAGAACAAGCCTCACAGGGTTGCCTTTGTCCATCTCTTTCAACGAGGCCATGAAAATATCTGTTCTCCAGTGATCTTCCCACACCAGAGACCTGTACAAAGGACCATAGCTTTTCAGCCTACAAGTGATACTAACCAGGACAAAATTCCTGCTCCCATAATAGATGGTAACAGCCCAAAGCCAAAAGAGATCCGACCCTGAAAGCAGCCAAAGGAATCATCACTAGAGGGAAACACCATGGTGGAGGACCAGCAGGCCTGAGTGGCTTTTGGGAAACAGCAGCAGAATCAGGCAGCACCAGAGATCAGAAAGCTTTTCTAGGATGCCCCTCCTGACACCCTGGCAGCTCCTGCTATAACCTGCGGGTGGGCTCCAGCGTGCCGACCCGCTGTGGTGCGACGCCTGGGGACACCAGCACATCCACCGCGATGCTCGTGTCCGGAGAGTAACAGCTCCAGTCTCCCAGCCCGAACACCACCAGCTGCCTTGGCAATGGCAGGGGCAGCCAAGCCTGGAAACCCATCTGGCTGGACTGGCTGCAAAGGGAGGGAAGAAAAACGAGAGACAGTAATCAAGGAGTAAAATAAAAGCTGCAAAAAATATACGAAAACGCCCGAAAACACGTTTATGCCAGGGAGGGGTGAAAGGAGAGGGCTTATGTCGTTTAAAGATGAAACCATGCAAGTATGCAGGGAAGGAGATAGCCGGTGGGAAGCCAGAGCCACCAGGGGCTGGAGCAGCTCAGCCAGGCGAGCAGCGGCATTCCCAGGAAAGGCCAAGGAATGGCGTGCGGGTGCTCGGCCCACGGGGCAGCCCAGCCCCGGCGGGGACCGGCCGGGCCGCACCTGCCGAGCCGGCGCGGCGGCTCCCGCAGCGCCCACAGCACGTAGAAGGCGGGGCCGCCCTGCCGGGCGCTGCCCGCGGGCCCCGGCCCGCCCCGGCGGCGGGCGCGCAGCATGGCTGAGGGCCGGGCCGCCGGGGCCGCATTAAAGCACCGCGCCGCACCTGGGCGGCCCCCGCAGCCCCCGGCGCGGCCCCACAGCTGCGGGGAGCCCGGCCGGGAGCGCCCGCGGCGCCGCCATCCCGGCACCGGGAGGAGGGCGAGGAGCGCCGGCTGCTCAGGCCTTCCGAAGCCGGACCGGCCTCGTCTCGTACTAAATCAGCCTCTCTAGAATCACGGAATTAATTAGGCTGGAAAAGACCTCTGAGATCATTGAGAACAGCCAATGACCGAACTCCACCATGTCAACTAGACATGGGCACTACACATCCAGTCTTTCCTTAAACAGCTCCAGGGATGGTGACTCCACCACCTTCCCTTGCGGTCCAGTATATAGTCACTCTTTCTGTGAAGAAATTCCTTCTAATGTCCAACCTAAACCTGCTCTGGCACAGCTTGGGACGATGTCCTCTTGTTCTGTCACTGGCTACCTGGGAGAAGAGGCCAAATCCCACCTGCCTACACCCTCCTTTCAGTAGTCCTGGAGAGTGATAGGTCTCCCTTGAGCCTCCTTTTCTCCAGCCTAAACAACCCCAGCTCCCTCAGCCACTCCTCAGAGAACATGTGCTCCAGATGTTCACTATTTCTACAGCCCAAGCCACGTGACCTTTTCCAGAGAGGGATAATTTGCTTGCTGATTCCTAAATTATGGTATCTGTATGGTATCTGTATGCATTTCTTGTAGTCTTCATTAAAAAGAGCAGGTGTGAGCCTTGCTTCTCTTACTCTGCAGTCAGGGCTCATATTGAAGGTAGGATGGTGGCAGATTCTCCTTAAAAAGTAATTACGTGTGTGTGTGTGTGTGTGTGTGTGTGTGTGTGTGTGTGTGTGTGTGTTACTACAGTCTCCACTGGGTAACTGATACCACCTGTACAACAATGAGTAGCTCTGCTAAGATTAAAACTGCTGTTGATAATCAAACACTACTAAAAGCAGTGACAGGACTTCAGCAGACAAAGTACAATATTCTGCCTATTCACCTGAAGCAGGGAAGAGCCATGTCCCTGGCAGAGGCAACAAAGCCTGCTGCAAGGCCTTCACAGAGCACCTCATGATCAGAGTGCTTCTGCTGCAGCCCATCCACAAAAATTACAGAAGGGGGAAGGGGAGCGGCAGAGTGGGGGTGGATGAGAAGAACTAATGTGAAATTTTGCACCACTTCCCTGCATGCCCACTGTTTTCCTTAGTTTTCCTCTTGGCTGTATACCTGAGCCAAGCATAAGGATGTATCATGAGTGCATCATAATAAAGTAGCTGTAACACCGTTTCTCTTTAGTGATCTTAAAATGCAATGAAATATCTTTAACTTGGCAGAATCATCTATCCTTTGGATCACCTTGGTTTATGATTGCTCCTGCCCATTAACTTGTTTATAAAAGTGCTCCAAGGGACTAGAACAGAGAATTGAACCTCTGCAGCACTTGTCCTGCCAAACTTAAAATGAGATGGGTGAGAAAAGATGACTCCTGCTACAGGCATCATTCCTTATTATGACCAGCAAGTGCTTCTTTCAGGACATGTAAATAGAGCCTTTGTAGTGTGATAAAGCTGATGGGCAAAGCAGCTGTGAAGGGCAAACACTTTTTCTCTAGACAATTTAATGGGTATCTGGTAATGGAAGAGATATTTTTTAAATCCTCCAGATTGAAAGCTGAAGTAACAAAGGAGCTAGGGGATCTCTGCAAATAGAGGTGACAAGTACCAGTATGAAGAACTGAAGGGTAAATTATTTGAACTTTATGTCCATTATATGAGCTTGGCTACTTGCTTGTTCCTCTCCAATTCCTCAACCATTCAGTACAATCTCAAGAAAAATAGTCCAGCGAGTCATTTTAATAGACAAAAGATTTTCTGGCTGGAACCATCATCATGAGCTGATAACAGAGCATTTTCCTATCCATTTGCATCAGAATCTCCTGTACATTCCAAAGTATATTTTGCGTATTTGATTCTTCTTTGCTCCTAAAACTAACTGCATTCTTATTTTGTTGGAAGGTTTGTAGTTGAATTTTTCATATCAAGATATTCACTTGCCTTAAACAGAAGACGAAGTTCTTGGTTGCATAGTGAAAAGTTTATTTAAAGGGAGTAAATTCCAATAGATTATTACAAATCAACCACAACACATCAAATATAAACAATACAAACCAATTGTAGAAGGAATGCAAGCACACTATAAATATAGCCTTCATACATGCCCTTCAGAAAGAGTTCAGTGACACATTTTGTTAAAATATCATCTTCTCTATTTAAAACTCACCTCATGGTGAGAACATGGAAAGCAAACATTTGGCACCAAGAACTCAATTTTGAAATCACAGGACATCAAAAATATTCACATCACATAGGTAAGGACTGACAAACAACCATCACAGTTCACAAGAACATAGCTCTGAAAAAGGTATGACCAGCTACAAGGTGCTCCCCATTGAAAGCATGTGCTAATGGCGGAGCTGTGAGTGGAAAGCAGCTTGCTTCCCTCTGAGGAGAACTGTTCCCAGGCCATCTTGGAGGTTGCAGGGAAGCTATCTCCAGCTATTTATCATTTCCAAACATGGCTCCTAAATGTCAAGGTCATTACTTGGCAAGGTCTCCTTAACTGTGTGGCTGGCATCCTGCTTCTTGCCAAAGGGACTTGACTCACCAGCGCAGATGGGTTTAAAACAAGTAACCC